ATAAATTTATATTTTGTGTATACAAAACAAAAAACCGATTTACTATACAAAATTTTGAAATTTTTTTCTTTTAAAAACAAATGACAAAAAGATTACCAATAAATGGAATTGGTGTATATCTAAAAAAAAGATTTGTATATATCTCATATAAAATCGTTCATTCTCAAAAACTACTACAATGAAAAATATATTTATGTATTAATATAAATATATTTAGATATTAATATAAATTTATATTTTGTAATTATTGGTTCTAATAAATATGATAAACTAAAAAAGAATCCTCACAAAATTGATGCAATGTAAATTTAAATATTACTATAAAAATTGTTTTTTTTTTTTGTGTGTGTATGTAACATATATGCTAATTCAAATTAATGATTCTAATAAATCTGTTAAAATAAAAAAGAATCTTTGATAAATAAGAGTTCTAAAATTGGCTACATATAATTATTTACATAATATTTGCCTACAAAACCACGATCAACGTAATTAAAGAAAACCAAAAAAATTACAAAAACAAACACAAACCGAAAATCGAGTTATATGAAAATTATGCAATTAATGATTTATTTTTTATAGATCATTTTATATGATTTTCATCTATAGTAGGTAATTAATGTTTTTGGCGAAAAATGCTCATAAAATGTTCGGGTATGAAAAAATCATAACCTAATTGTAAATAACATTATTAGTTTGATTATTGGGCACACTACAATAAAATGATAAAATTCCAATGGAAATTTATTCTAAAAGAAATTATTCCAACGACAATTCAAACGGATATTTCAATACTATTATTTCCTTTGGAAATTTTCAGTGGATTCCAACGGAAATTCCAACAAAAATATTCCGTTGGAATGAATTTTTCATTGGAATTTCCGTTGGATTTTGACGTTCCAACGGTGGATTTTTCAACGGGGTGGAAATAAAAATTCCAACGGAATTTGCATTTTCCAACGGTAAAAAAACCATTGGAAATATAGCAGTTGAAATCATCAAATTTCTAAGAGTGACACTCACTCTTGTTTATCGTCATGACAATATAAATGAATGTTCATCTAAAAAACTTAATATTTGAAATGTAGTGACCGTGTTTTTTGTTTAATTTCGTGATTGATGGACTCTTTTATTAATTAGTTGGTTTGAATCAAGATATAACAAATTTTGTTGCCAATCGTTATTAAAGTTTTTAAATTAATTTGTGTAAATGCATAAATAAAAAGAGACCTAAACTATTAAATTATTTTTCATCTTTTGAAATCAAATAAATAAACCGGCCTCTGAAACCCTTGTTCTTCTTCGGAAAATCGCCGCCTAGGTCACACCCTTTTCTCTCTTCGATTCTCTCCCAGCAGATTTCAGGGGCTGTCGGAGTTTAGGCTTATCTGCTCCTCCGCTAACTGGCCTCGCCCCGTCAATTTATCCCCCTTTGTCGTATGGTCCATGGGTGCAGATCCTTTTTGCGTCCGTTCCTCCAGATCTACGGCGGGTTCTTTGTGCGGGCGACGGTCGGCGAGTGGAGGAGGTCTCTGTTGCATAGGTCGATTTCGAGGAGCTTGGCGTCTCCCGTGGGATTTTGGAGTTCGTCTGATTTGGCTGTTTGGCTCAATCGCCGTCGTTAGCCCAGGTCTGCTGCACCGGCGGTTTGGGGTCTTAGGGAGGATGGACCTTCGCTGTCATCTTGGCGTGTCATGGAGGTCGTCTTCTTGGTCTCCATCTGTCTCGGTTTCTTTTGGTGGCTTCCGGCGGGAATCTGGTCCGGCGAGTTGGTGTCGGTTCTTTGGGTTCAGGTGATGTGACGGGGACTGGAGGTATCTCGTTCTCGCTCCTATCTCCTCTCGAGTTTGGTGAGTCTGGGTAGTTCGGTTTTGCTGCTGGTGAATCGGATTGGCTCGGGTCTCGGCTAGTGGTGTTGGCCGGGACGGGGATGAGTGTTCTCTGCGGTGGT